CTAAGACCATCTGCTTCACAGGTCCTAAAGCCATCTGCATTTACATATATGTGTAAATAACCAAAAAATAGTGTCAGCCTGCCAGCTTAAAGGTTGTTTTATGTCATAATACTATCATGCTTCCTAAACAGGCTATAGTTGAGAAAAGACTTGGATTTCCTATTTTGTTTTGACACAGTGTTATATATTTTGAGCTGTGTGCAAATTGTGGGCATGTTTTTATGTCTTTCTATGTATTGACTAATGAATCAAAAGTATGAAAAAATTGCTCCTTCAGCATTTATAAGGATTGAAATACGCAGTTTGTAACCTCTAATGCACGTGCCACCCTAAGACCTCATGAGAATTAACTAAAGGACACCAGCATGCTGAAAAAAAAGTGAATTTCCCTGCGCTTCAGTATGGAGCTCAAGTTTTAGTCTCCTCTGGAGGTCTTGCAATAAGTAGTGTAAACACAAGTAATCTCTAGAATATGCATTGTTTATTCCAGAAAAGCCATTTGGTTCCATTATGTCATTGCTTGCAAGAAGAAAAAAGGGAAACTAAAATCTATCTTCTTGATCTGGGCCAGTTTAATAGCCGGGGAGTTTAACAGCATTAGCTCAGCACCTAACAGTGGCCAGGACCTGACGGTAGCAAATGGGGGAACGTCTCAACAGGCCTCTTGTGTCAGAGATGAGAAGACAAGCCATGCTGGTCTGTCTGTGTGTGGTAGGAGAAGTCAGTTGTCTATATCTGGGGTAGACGGATGCTGTGGCTGGGAGCTCTACATGTGCAGGGCCACTTCTGTAGGGCTGGGTCTGACCGAGGTCTTCAAAGAGACCTTTTGGAAGGGAACAAAGGTGGAGATGGGCTGCCTCATCAGAGCCAGGTGCACTGCTGATTCAGCTCCTCCTACTTTGAGAAGCCTGCACATGAAACCAGCTTGGGCTGCATCTGCCCAAGTCCCATTAGGAATTTAGTGAATTGCAAGGTAGCATATGTGTTAATGTGGGCTGAGAACAAGGTCCTACGTGGGTGAAGGGCTGCCAGAGGATGTAGCTAGGCTGAGATGCATCAGCAGGTAGGATATCATCAATATAACAGGCATGGAGTCCTTCAAGGACAGCCAAAAGAAGATGCTGGAGACATAGAGCAGCAACAGGGGAGAAGGAGCATGCTCCTCAGAGGGGTGGAAATGGCCTGCAAGCTTCCCTGAAGGACAGAAGCCCACGTCTTCCAGCAGATGGGCAATTCACAATGACAACTCCAAGGAAGAAAGCAGGTAGGGAGTCTCTGCTTCTGAAGCACTGTGGGAGGTCTTTTTAGGTATCTCATCTGAGCTCCTGGTGGTCTGTTAGCTGCTTCCCCAGACAGAATAAATGATCCAGCTGAGAATTAAAGTTAACAGGTCAAAATTGAATATCAAGTTCTGAGAACAGGAATGATTCAGGTAAGATTTTCATCATCTGAGGCACAGGAATCCATGGTTCAGTCAGAAAGCCATATCTCCTGGGCAGGAGAACAAGATTGCATGAGTGTTGTAGCTTCATTCACCCTGGCCATCAAGCATTAGTGTGGTGAATTGCTGGATATATCTCCTTACCCCTTTTTGCTTTCTGAAGAGTCAGATTCGTGCTTTGTTCCTATCCCAACACATGCCCACGTAGCTCACCCCTATCTCATCCCCTTTACCATGATGCCTCTTGTTTTAGATGATTGCTTACAAAAATGTGTCCATCTGATCTTCTTGGTTTGCGTTTTTTGTCCAAGATCCCTCTACCCCAACAACACAACTTGCACCATTGTATAAAGATAAATTATCTCAGTGTGGACGGGGCAGAAAGGGCAAGGCCATCAAATTAGAGTGAGAGATGTAAAAGGAATATCTGAAGAGCATCTCAAATGCAAGTACTATAGGGGTCTTGTAACAATATGTTCTCAAGGTTATGAGAACCACGGAGATTTGGCTGAATAATTTGAGACTGAAGGGCAAAGTGCTTCAGAAACCTGTCAGTAAAAGAAAGTGAAATGTTGGTGGGGGTGAATATATTTATTTTGAAGTCCAGAGTACAGTTGATAGAGGTGATGTGTCTGGTAATTTTACCATGATGGGAATCCACAGTCCTTGCAAAAGGAAAAAAAAACAACAATGACTTAAAAAAAAGCCAATATCTATAAAATAAAATTATTGATAAGAAGGATTTAATAGGAAACAAGCCAAAGAAAAGCATAAGCAGAAATGACTAAGTCTCTGTATAAGTGAAATGAAGGGCATAATATGTCCCAACACAGAAGTAGTATTAGGAAGGGTAGTAAGAATAAATCACTTTATTAAATCAGAGCTCTTCACCTTAAAGATCCTCTTCACTCACAAAGGAAGCACAAAGACAGTCGTAAGTAGATTGCTATAGGTGAGTATATAGCATAGGCAAATAGAGAAAAATCAGAATTATGGAAGTGCAACTACCAATACAATGAAGATAACGTGAAAATACTTTATAAGTGCATTAGTAAGAGTCACGTTGCTCAGGAAATATTGTTTGTAAGAGCCTGTCCTCAGCAACACTGGGGAATCTGGCATGAGAGAATGTGGCACAGCTCATCAGCAAAGATGGAGAGTTACTGAGCAACGTCCAGAGGACAACAATGTGAATGAGCAAAAGTCTGGAAGTACCACAATGGACTACGTATAGAGACTGGGAGTGGCCATTATTTGCATTTTTTACAATCTGGGAGGTTACAGGTGTAGCTGATTCTCTCTCAGGAGAAGTAAAGGAACTAGATGACTAGAAACTTGAGTTTCTTTTAAGCATTATTTTTCTGTGCTTCTTTTCTCCCCACTGTTGCTAGCTCATTTGGAAATGTATTGGTAATGTTGTGAAATTAGCATGCCCTAAGAGTTTTGCAAAATATTTTCTAGGGAAAGGGGAAGAAGCTGAGGTCAGGGAGCCTGTGTTAGTTTTGGAAATGAAACAGGTATGCGGAGAGGCAATGGGTGAATCAGATCAAGGAGTAGAAGTAAAAAGACAAAAAGAAGAAGTGAAAAAGGAGTAACGGAGAAATGACAAAACTGATAAATGGGAAGAGTGAAAAGGATGTGACTAACGATATGAGAAGAGTTGTTTCTGGAAAAACTGACTCGTTGAACAATGATTCACACAATAAACACCTGGACGTTTGCCTTCTTTTCATCAGATTTACTCAGAGAAACAGCTGGCTGAAGGCACCAGTCTCACTGCTGAGTTTCTTCTCGTGATTTTATCTGTGGCACCATGTTATGACTGTTGTAAAGCCTTAAGTGCTTCTGGACTTTGTAATGTATTTGACATGGGAGATTATTCTTTTTTTTTCTCTGTGTGGTTACAACCTGTAAGGAGTTGCTCTGTGGCTGGGAAATTATTTCAGCCAGAGAAAGACACTAAGGATGAGCGGGTTCACTTCTTCCATTGACTTTCAAAAATATAGGCATTAAATTAAGCATATTTGGCACCTTAGATATATATTTCAAGTACCCCATTGCACTTCCTAATAACTGGGCTTCCAAGCAGAGACTCTAGCATTTGAAAGACAAACACCTAACTTGTTTATGAGGCTTTGACTTCTGACATCATGATTTGTGTTATTCTGCACTTGCCATGTACAGGTGGGCTGAAGAAATGACATTAGGAATTGGTTTCTGTGAATTTGTTATTGCAGTATGAATTCTGTCTGTTTTGACATTTATGCTTCAGGCTGAAAGCAGTTCTCATTCACATCCGACTAGTACACAATTAATCTGCATGTAAGTCACTTAAAGTCAACATATTTCCAAGGCAGTTCAGTTGCCTCCCCCTTATTATATTTACTTTGAAATCATTAACAATGAGTTCTAATGCTTTAATGGAAACTGTTGGTTTTGAGCTGTGCTCTAAAGATAACTCACTGCTAGCAGACAGCTTCGAGAAAGTCTGAATCATCCTGAGTGCATGAGCAAAGCGGGAACAGTTGTGTCTGAAAGCAGAGTCTGGAGGTGTTTTCTTGGAGAAGAAATGCTGATTTCAAGGGAAAAGTGTGATCTGAAGCAAGCACAGATAGCTCACCTTTCCCAGAATTGGATTCTAAACACTTCTTTCTTTGGATGCAAAATACTTAATGCACTGCACAAATAGTTTAACAATGTTCGAAAGCAATCTAACATACTGAGGGAACTGAAAGCAGAATTTAGAACCTGGATGAAAAGTAACATTTCATGAGAGCATAAAACAAGCCTGTAAAAAAAACTTTGAAATAAACATGATATTAAAAAGCGAGTTAGCAGAAAGCATAACATTTTAAGGATTATGATTTTTAAAAACCTTCTGGTTTTCCCAAATACATTTTATTATTTATTTTACCGTAGCCCTTTACAGTCTAGCTGATTTCAGTTCCCCTTACTACAGGTGCTATAATGCAGGGACTAGCATTGAAGGGCTAAAAACCGAAAGAGATATGAAAGAAGACACAGGAGGGAAAGGAATCATTACATCCATTATGAGATGAGCACCTGGAAAGGAGCAAATAGAGTCATTTGCTCAAAGTTACCCAAAGTAAATTTGTTGCAGAGCTCAGACAGAATTTGAACTTTCTAAGTTGATGACTGATGAATTGTTCTCGTAACTAGGCTGGGTCCTTCCCATCCACCTTTACATCCAAACTGTTGTCTTCTGAGTGGGAATTATCCCTTTTGACTAGGCAAGTAGCAAATGTTATCTCCACCCAAGTCCTGTGCCTTCTCCTTTCCACCTCCTCTCCTACAGAGAGGACAGCTTTGTCTGTGTGGCTCCAGCCCAGGACTCAGGTGTTCACTTCTCGCAGCCCCACCGAAAAAACTGAATTCAGGAAGAAAAACCCCAAAGGACATAAAAATATAGAAGGTTGTAAATTATCTTGGAGCTACATTGCTTGCTGACATGGCTGCCATTTCATACCACACCTAGTCATTAAGAATCAATAATTCTCCATTCTGTTAATGTTTGAGCCGCTGAACCTCTAGGGTGAGTCTGAGGAACTATAAACTGTGTGGAGAAGCAAGGACGGACACCACCAACCTGTGCAAAGCTGATTCCCACAGCTGATTCCCAGCTGAAAGAAAGAAGTATTTTTAGAGAAAAAGAAATTTTTCATGTTACAGGTAAGGGATGATCTAACTGTCATTTCCTGGAAAGATTTTAAAAGCTGAATCAAGGTTTTTTCTGACGACCTTTCTGGCAGCGTCAGGAACTCAGCTGCCTTTGTAAAATGGATGACTGCTGTGCTAAAGCTTAGTAAGGCTTGTATTTTATTTGGATCAATTTTCTCTGTTTTCTCTTTACTGAATTTGAACATCTGAAATCAATCATTTAAAGAAAATCAACATTTTTATTTTTTTTTCATGGAACCAAATATTTGTGATTGTTACTGATCTTTAACATCTGGGAATATTCTTCGTTCTCTGAATGTTTCTTATTGAAAGTCGCTGGGATATTTGTACTATGGTTATCCCAGAGATTTCTGTTCAGGTAGGGAAACTAGAAAGGATTATTAAGGATCTAGCACTGAAATGAAACTAAGAAATGAAGGGGAAAATATGGCTCCAGTCCTCAGCCAGATCTCAGGCTGCTTTTAGTTAAGCCGATCCTATTCTAATCCTGAAACTCTTTGTTATTGAAAAGTTTTGTGTGAGTTTGTATATACTGAAACTCTATTCTGAGTGACAGAGGAGTATGTATTTTGAGGCTCTGGTCCTTGGTAGTGTGATGCTTCATGAGACTTGGCAGCAGCTTCCAGCCAAAAATGAATGGTCAAGGACTGACCAAGCCACTCATCCTGGCCTTGCAACCGACTTTGCAAATGGCACGACATTCAGGAATGATATTTGTATTCGAAGAGAAGGGAACAGCAAAGGCTGTTATCATGCAAACTCGTAACCTACAAAATGGCTGTATTTCTACCGCTGTGTTTCGTGGTTGAATCTGGACAAAGGAACCTGGGTGAGACACAGCGCAGTCGCACAGACACATGAAGGGGTGCATTTTCCAGCATTTTCTGTCGGCTATTCTAGGGCTGGACCTGTCCCTTCCTTAAACCTTCTCCTCAACATAGTAGGTCTTGCTCCCTCGCTTTTCCCTTAATCCATACCCTGGTATACTCAGACCGTCCCATACCCTTTTTCTTCACTTCTTGCCCGGGTACCCCCAGCACTTTTAGCTCCCTGGTGTCCCCCGGCTGCTGGCTGGCCAGAGGGGCAGATGAAGCCACACAGGTGAGTGCTGGGCACACGCTGCAGCCTTATCCTTGGGTAGGGCATGCCCTACCCACCGGCCATCCCAAATTAATAAGGAATTAGTTTTTTGAAGTTCCAATCCTGGTATTAGGTGTGGCTGAAACTGGCCGACGTCTTCAGAAGAGACCAGGAGGAGGGGAAGGGAGAGGCTGTTGGAAAGACAGAGGACCTGGACAAACTTCCGTCAGCGATCTAACTGAAATATCAGCAATGGTCTCGGTTCAAAGTGTCTTCCCAGGAGGTTCAAAGTGTCTCCTCTGCCCTCCCTGTGCCAGGCCCCAGTTCCTCTGGCTGCAGGCAGGGCAGTGAGAAGGGCACCACTGCCAGGCAGCTACAGGGGGTTCACTTTCAGGCCTCATTTCCTGACACATTTGATGATTTTTCTGATCACTTCTGCTTTCAAAGGAGAGCCATTTTATTTTCTTTCAGTACCCACGCAGCTAGCTCCAGCCCAAGGAGGGAGGTGAGTAATTTCAAAGGGCGTAATTGCACACGCAATAAGACCCTGCTCAGAATGGGATTTGCAAGATGGGACTTCCTGTGGCACCTCCTCAAATGAGTGTGGGAGAGAACAGCAGTGTGGGCAGTGGATTTCGTATTTACAGTTTCCCTTTGGTCAGCCATTGAGGAAAGAAAAGACAGGGGGGAAAGCTATGACGGGAAGCTCAAGCAGAAAGGCATCTGGAGGGAGCTGTGCCTCCACACCGTCTTCTCCTTGGGAGCCTCCATGGGACAGACTTGTGGTGGCTGAAGGATACCTGTAGGTGTTAGCCACATAACATGGAGTACCTCTGAAGATGACAGCACTGTACGCCAGCTTCACCTCTCTCTGGAACTGGCCTCATCCTTTTTGTTAAAATCTAGAAGCCGTGAGAAAGCAGGATTTCATTCTTGAGAAACCCATCTAGTTTCCAGGAAGATGTAACACAAGTCATGGTAGAGTGTGCTCAGCAGTTTTTTGAAACTCAAGGCAGGCAGTGCTCCTTATAGAATCATAGAATGGTTTGGGTTGGAAGGGACCTCAAAGATCATTGAGTTCCAACCCCCCTGCCATGGGCAGGGACACCTCCCACTAAACCAGGTTGCTCAAGGCCCCATCCAGCCTGTCCTTGAACCCCTCCAGGGATGGGGCAGCCACAACTTCCTTGGGCAACCTGTTCCAGTGTCTCACCACACTCATAGTAAAAAATTTCTTCCTGAGATCTAATCTGAATCTTTTTTTCTTGCAATTTAAAACCGTTTCCCCTTGTCCTATCACTACACTTCCTGGCAAAGAGTCCTTCTCCAGCTCTTCTATAGGCACCCTTCAGGTATTGAAAGGCCACTATAAGGTGTCCCCGGAGCCTTCTCTTCTCCAGGCTGACAGCTCCCTTAGTCTGTCTTCATAGGAGAGGTGCTCCATCCTCTGATCATCTTTGTGGCCCTCCTCTGGACCTGTTCCAGCCGGTCCAGAATCATAGAATATTTTGCGTTGGAAAGGACCTTTAAAGGTCATTTAGTCCAACACCCCTGCAATGAGCAGGGACATCTGCAACTAGATCAGGTTGCTCAGAGCCCTGTCCAACCTGACTTGGGTTGTTTCCAGGGATGGGGCATCTACCACCTCTCTGGGCAACCTGTGCCAGTGTTTCATCACCTTCATTGTAAAAAATCTCTTCCTGATATCTAATCTAAATCTTCCCTCTTTAAGTTTAAAGCCATTACCTCTTGTCCTATTGCAACAGGCCCTGGTAAAAAAAAGTTTGTCCCCATCTTCCTGTAGGACCTATTTAAGTACTGGAAGGCTGCTATAAGGTCTCCCCGGAGCCTTGTCTTCTTCAGGCTGAGCAACTCCAGCTCTTTCAGCCTGTCCTCACAGGAGAGGTGATCCAGTCCTCTGATCTCCTTGGACTTGGAAATATCATTTCCAGTAGCTGTGTTGTTTTTAAGGGGTGCAGACACCCCTGGCTTCCTCTCTCTCTGCAAGCTGCACTGAGCAGTTGTTTTTTTGTGACCGTAAGACAGAGACCTCAGGAAGGTCGCTGCAAGACCTTCATCTCCTTGTGGTTATAGTGTTTCCTGTGAACGTGTTGTTGCTTTCAGTAAAGCAGAAATGAGAACGGGGCTTGCAAATGGGTCTTGCATGACCCAGAACCATTGCGACAGGGAGGTTGCGCGGCCCAAAGCTTTGTGCTGGTTTCAACCTTGGAGAGCTCTTTGAGGCTCTCACGGTGTGTGGCACCTCCTGCGCCACTGGGGACAGACCTGATGGGCTGTCCTTCCTGGCCAGCCCAGGGATGCCAGTGGTCTTGCCTCCCGATGGGCAGAGCTGTGCCTGGTCCTTCAGAGCTCGCTCCTTGGCTGCTCTCTCCCTGCAGCTCTGGGAAAGCTTATCTGCAGCCCTTACTCACAAACAGATTGGGCCAACTCTACGCTCTGCAGGGGTTAAAGTGACTTATTGCCTCTTCTTTGCAGGAGCTGAAGGAAAGCGTGTTCCAGTATGTTTAAGCTGTGTGGACTTCAATTTCTGCTCCTCGTTCACTGGGTGAGTTACAGCTTTTCCTCCAGGTTTATCTGGGAGCAAATGGCAAAGGTTGCCAGCGAGGCTCTGAGCTCTAACCCACAGGGCGACCCAGCCTGCAGGTCTGGCAGGGCGGCTGTAACACTGGGTGTGGGAGGGTGACCCCACGGCCAAAAGTGAAGAAGACAAGTCAATCATTAGGAAAAAAAAAAACCACAAAACTTTAAAAAGCCTGAGATACACCAATTTACCTATTTTGCTTCTTGTACTTCCTCCTTTGATACTAATTTTTCCAGTCAGTGGATTTCGTGCTGGAAAAGGTTTTAAAGTACAAATCACCAGGCAGTGAAGACATCCGTATCATGTGTTCTGTATTATAATCCATACATGTGCTGACATATTAAATGAATTCTAAGACATATAATAGCGCATAGTTTAAACCATGCATATTAATTATTTGTCCTCATTATTCTGTCTATGTGAATCCCTTTTCAGAGGATTTCCTGGAACTGAAATGTATTAATTATGCTATTTATGGGTCTATTAAACTCAATAGATTTATTGATGTTTGCAAAGGCTACAGTGTGTCTTCTATTTTGCAATTGAAATTAACAGAAAAGATTTAAAAAAAGAGCAAAATCCAAGTCTATTAAAAAATGCCTCAGACTATGGGGACGCTGAGGGGTGGGACTGATGTGCAGTTGTGAGCACCTCCTTTTTCCTTCCTATTTCAAAAGCTGCTGCCTGTGGCAGTGCTGACCCCCCATGAAGCCACTCCACGGGCATTATAGCCATCTTCAAAAGGGATGCCAGACAGATATGGGCCAAGGAGAAAACCCCCATTTCCCCTTCAGGCCCCTAAGTAGTGATTCATGTTGTAGGCATACGTTTTGAAATATTTATGGTCCATATAAAGTAATTTTAATTGACAGGAAGAGATATCTCTTACTTGCTTTGCAGCTTGCACTTTGAACCTGCTGAGTTTTATAGTGTCAGCCTTTGTTCCTCCACGGCGAGGAACATGACCAAGAAAAAATCCTCTGCAAAATGGCCCTGGGAAAAACTTCCAGGATCCAGACTGTGCCCACCAGTGTGACACAGGAACAGCCATAGGAGGTCAGATCCAGGGTCCTGCTATCGTGTCCCTGGCAGAGGCCAGCAGTCAGCATTTAGCAAAGATAGCAAAGGGTAGTTTTAAAGTGTTCTTTCCTGGTATGCATACCTATTACATGGCTTTTTTTGGATATTTTTCTACTGTCACTAGTGTTCACTAGCATGAACACTAGTTCGTCCTTCCCCAGTTCTCACAATATTCTAGTTTTCTTGTTTGCAAAGAGAGTCACAAACCCTTGTAGGCGAGGAGGGCAGGATCTCTGGCTATTATTAATCAGAATCTGGCGTTATTCAAACACCACTTGTCACACACACGCACACACACAGAGTGCAGCACTTTAGGGTAAATTGTGCTGAGCTTAGCTGTGTTTTTGTCATAGCCAGAATTAAGTTTTCCCTTGGTGATATGTAAGCTGTGTTTTTCTGCGAGAGGCGGAATAGCTGTCCTGGCAGCAACAGGACCAGATCCAGGGGAAAAGTCATGCAGCAGAGAACTACATTCCCAGAGCCTGACTCCATGGACAGTGGGGCCGTGGCACTCCGAATCCGTAAAGCAGGATAAAGTCATTTTTACGTGAGAAGAAAGGGAGTTTTACCTGTGCAGCCAAATGATGGAGCCCTGATTCTGGCAGGCGGCTCCTCAGCGTTGCCAAGAGGAGAGTGAAAGGGAGAGAAGGGTAGGTGTTTAAGGCATTTTGGTTTTGTCTTTGAAGAAACAGGTAGATTATCTGTACCACAGGCTGAATTATCTTGTGTGCAAGGGCTGCTCCAGGAGGCTGATTTTTGCTTTGTTTTCGATGTTGGTTTTTTTTTTTTGTTTGAAAGCAAGAACATCCCTGAAACATTAGGGCAGAAAGGTGTCTGGAGCTCTTTGGGCACTAGGGAAGGGGTGGTTATGAAACTCCAAAAAAATTGCCAGAGAAAACACCATGGGAAGACATTGCCAACCATGAGGAAGAAAGCAGAGGTTGAGACAGACTTACATGGTGTTTTTGCCATGAGGTAGAAGCCAGAGATCAACAGGATGTGTTTGCTCTGGCTGCCGTTTACACTCACATGCAGCTGGTGTGAAGGCACAGGGTCTGAGTGGCTTGCCCAGATCACCAGTGGTGGGGAAGGGGACCTGGGGAGGTCCACTTTTTTCTCTCATGGAAAATGTTTGGATTTACTGAGGAAATTACAAGGGGTGCAGCCCCAGTCCCTCCCCATCCCCAGGAGTGACATTGGGTTTCCCGACACATGTGTGGCCACAGGACTGTGCAGCTCCTGGGTAGGATGTGGCTGGTGCTGCTGGGAACACAGAATTGATCCAGAAATGCTTTTATGAATTTCCTCTTGCTCTCAGTCCACCCTCAGCTCTTTGGTGCTTCTGTTTGCTCTTGAAGGTAGATTAAATCTCATTTCATTATGTAGTGGTTAGAGAAGGTCAGGGTCCAAATGTCTGTTCCCAAATTAATTAATAAATAACACTGCTTTTAAAAATGGATATGTACTAAAGAACCCAGAGGTGTTCAGTGCAAGCCAGTGTCTCGTCCATTATGCTACCAGCAAAATAGCTTGCAAGAGGCTCAATGATGGAGATCTGCTGTTCATGCGTGGTGACAGCAGACATCCCTCAGCTGCTTCCCTCCATCCCTTTCTCTCTCTCTCACAGGCTATGTGCCAGAATTTCGGTGACCTGCATGTAAGCGGGCCTCTGAAGGACATGAATTTCTCTATTCTAGAAGGAGGGGGGATGCGCTTCGTTTATCAGGTAATCAAGTCTCTCTTGGTATCCACTCTGGTCAAAAACCCCATCATTTACATACACAGACCTCACAAGCAGTGATGTCTTCCGTGCTGGTGGGAAGAAAAGTCCCCCGAGAGGATCTGAAATTAACTTTGACTTCCTCTATCTGGGAATTCAAGACTCTACATGCAGAAAGTCAGAGACAACCCCTTCTCTCAAACACATTTTAGGAGGATATCCTACAACAGAGATTAATAAAATCAGCATTCCTAGAGAATAGGCTTCCATGTAACTTGTGTCATCATTTTCCTTCAGCTCTGAGGTTTTCTTCTCAAAGCCATAACCACAGAAGGACAGATCCAGCTCCCAGGCAAATGGAGGATATGTGTCATTTTTTTCCATTCCCGTGCTCAGACAAAGCAGACATTTGCTTTGGAAAGAAACCACAGTTGGGATTTCCTGCAGCATTCAGGAAATAATGTGAAAACTGCTCTGTTGAGGATCAGAAAAGAACAGATTTGTTTGAGCAGACTCTTGGAATATCATTCCTCCAGCCAAGCACTCTATTGGCAATAGATTTTAAAAGATACAAAAGCATGAAATTATTTAGATTATGGTGAAAATGCTGAAAAAAGGGTGATTTTCCCTCTGATTCTTCCCCATTCTAGTTCACATCTGAGCCACCTGCTGTGAGTTTCAGATTGTCTGGTGAAAAAGATGGAATAATTGACATTGTGCCGAAGACAGGTATCCTGTATCTCAATGGGTCTCTGGACTGGGAGACGAAAACAATGCACAGACTGCAGGTAAAAACTTGATGAAAAATAGAAAATGAAGGTTATTCATATTCACCCTTTTTTGGGTAAACCTGAAATTAATGGAAAACTGTTGGAATTTCAAATTCTTTCTTTTGTTTATGTTTACAGGCAACGTTTTAATCTTTAATGTTGAGCTTTGCTGAAAGACACATGGTTTTATAGTTCTGAAAGACTTTGCACAGAAACGCGATCCTTAGAACAGGAAGGTTATTTTGAGAAAACAAAAATTACCCTGATGCCAACACCAATCCTCTAATTCTCCTAATATGAGGAGGACACTTGACTCGAAGTGAAATCTGGCCCCATGAAAGAGGTTCTCTTGTTATCGCTGAAGACCGATAGGGTGAATTCCATGGCTGGAATGGGAAAATAAACTATTGTAATCTCTTTAAGAAGATTATAATCTATTTAGTAAGAAATGGTCTGAGTAAATGATATTTACACACAGAGGCATAGATCTAACCTCTGTTAGATAACAGCAGAAAGCTGCTAGGCAGATGTCAGAGGCTATTAGAGGCAAGAGCACTGTGTGATTGTCCTGCTATTATACGCTTTTCATAAGGATCATAAACGCTGCTGATGGGACAGTGGGTAAGCGATCTTTTGGTCTCGGTATAGCCTTGTGCTCTTATTTGTCAAAAATGATATTGTCGTCTTCTAGCAACTGAGGAGGAGATGATCACGTGAGGATCAGTATCTGAAAGAAGTATATGATGTTTTAGCTAGCCTTAGCTATCTTTCTATAGTTTAGCACTTCAGTTATTAACCCTAAACATGGGAAACATTTACAGCCAAGAAGCAGCGATGACAGAACTGAAAAATTATACTTGGTTAAGCGTAAATAATCAAAATTTGCTCTACTATATGCAAGCAACATAAAATCAGACAGTCACTGATTTGGCGCTTTAAAGTCAAAGAAGGTTGAAAAATAAGAAGTCAAATTGTTTGGAACAAAAATATAATCAGAACTCAGTATTAAGTTTTCTTTGCAAATGCTTAGATCAGCCTATTTTTCTGGTTGATATTTCCAATGCATGCTTGAGTCCACTATATCATATTTATAGACTTTCCGAACTATAAAACCATGCTATATCATGTTCTCCTTGTTATTCAGAAAGTATCTATTTCTGTTTAAAGCAAAGCATGAAGTCTAAGCTGTGCAAGAATACAAGTAGTCTGCTGAGACCTGAAGTGAGAAGATGACACTCTGAAAAGTATCATCAGAAGCAGGAGTAGGTTATTTTACTTCGTTGGTATTGCATACTGTGGCGAATTATTGTCAGTGAGCTCCCATGGTAAATTTGTCCTTGTAGATGGAGCCACCCAGTGATGGCTCTCACCAGATTTGCGTCACAGTAAGAATGACTTGCCATTTGACATCCTGAAGTTCATTTATGTCTTTAAATTTATCTACATGAAAATATTTCTTTTCTGTTCCTTCTTTTTCCAAATCAAGGTGGAAAGCCTGGATGAAAATGGAAACGTAGTGAAAGGTCCGTACGCTGTTACAATATATGTGGAAGATGTCAATGACAACCCACCAGAATTTGACCAGACAACGTACACTGGAGTAGTGAGGCAGAACTCCCGTCAAGGTAATCGTCATAATAAAAAAATAAGACAGTTCATAGGAAGCTAGGTAGATTCAGAAACAGGAAGATAAAGTGAGGGCTATACTTCAACAAGCTGAAAAAAGATCAGTCTTCTTTCCCTCAGGATTGTACAAAATAAGGATGCAAGCATGTATATTATAAAGAAAGGGCAAAGAGGTGAGTACTATGTAGCATAAAGGGATGAATCTAATCAGAAATATTTCATAGCATTTGTTGCTTTGCAAGTATCACTTAAGAGGCAAATATTCCGGCTCTCTCCATTGCATTGAAAAAAATCCCCTATGCTCGAAGGAGCTGAAAGTTTAAAGGTTGTCAAAGACTGTAGACAAAAAGAATGTTAATATGTAAGTCTTTCCACACCAGTGAAATAAAATGCCAGTGTAGATATAGGGTATGTGTTTACTGTTACTTACAGAATGTGGGCTGAACCTTAGTATTTAGGAAAGAGTCTTAAATGATGGATTGCAGTGATCCAGTCCAGAAATCAGGAAAATATCGAAAAGCAGTTCAAGGCCCCCATCTTGGAAATGAAACAAAGGATTCAGCCAGCTGTTATCAACGTGGCTATGAACTCAGGAAGAAATTTTTGCTAAAGAATACACATATAAAGCTCCATGGGATCAGAACGCCATTCCACAATATTTTATCTTATTCTTCAACTGCATCCAAATCAAAAAGATTTTGAATTTTGCATGGGTGATCAAAAGGCAAAAAGTTGCTTATGTTATCATGCTTTTCCGTATTTTTTTTTTTTTCACTGTATGATTGTTCCTTTAATTATAACTGTGTCACAACTGTAGGGCATTTTTCTCAAGGTGCTTTGGGTAGAACCGATTTGTATAAGGACTGTAAAGTGGCCTTAAAGAGAGATACTAGTGAGCTACATTCCGGGTGCAGGCACTCTTGGACGGTAAATAGCTCTCTGATTTAGCTCTGTCACCTTTTTTGTCAACTGGTCTTCATACCTATTGTGATCCTACTACACAGAGCTGATGGAGAGGGACCTGTGGGATGCTACACGTGCAATGTAACCTCCACACACAAGCATGTCTCACCACGAGAGATGCATGATGAAACAACATCAGCTCTCCATAAACTGCCTTCCCAGCTTGGGAGCTCTGCTGGAGTGGACTGTGAGTTGAGGTTTCAGTCTCCTCTTACCATTATTTCTTCTCTGATCATAACAGGCAAGCCCTTCATGAAAGTCCACGCCACTGACCGTGATGATCCTACAACTCCCCATGCACAGCTGACATACAGCATTCTCCATCATTTTCCCAACCCTTATTCAGAAATGCTTTTCCAGATCGATAGTGCAACTGGAGAAATCTCACCGAGTAAGACAGGTATGTAAAAAGATTCTTGTTTGTCAAAAAGCAAGCATGAGTTTCCTGCATAGGAACAAATCAACACAGATCTGGTGTTAAATTCTGAATAAATGTAGTCAGTGGGACATACTCCACTGAGGCCCTGGATCTAAAAATACCTTGAAAAGAGAGGTTGATCCTCTGGCCCTCAGGACTATGCTGAATATCCCAAGATATTCTTGGGATTAATTCTCTCCCTTGAAATCTAGAAAACTATAAGCAGTAAAATGAAAAATTCAAAGAAAACTCAGCCTGCCCTGTGATCCCAACTAAATGGCAATGATCTAAATCCCCTGCCTCTTCTGCTGGGCTGAAAAATTGCCTAAATGGAGTGAGGGCTGTTCAGTCATGCATCTGCACATGAGACCACAACACAGAGATCTTATATGACTACGTCCATCTGATGCTGTGCTGCATCGTTCAGAGAAGCCAGAGAAAATAGCTTACTGAGCTTTGGCACAAAGGCTCATCTAAAGAATGAACCTGGAACAGATGAAGAAGCATGGTGAATGTAGGAAGCAATGGGCAGATGAGCCATTTCCACAGCCTCTACTTTATTTCACTTGGGTCTTTTCTCTGTCTCTAGGCTCTTATTACTTAGATCCTCAAAAGCAGGACACCTTCACACTTGTCGTCACCGTTAAGGACATGGCAGGGATGACAACAAATGCTTTCACCAGCAGTGCTGATGTGATCATCACTGTAAAAGAGAGCCTGTGGAAAGCTCCCCCCACCATCCGCATCCAAGAAAACTCAACCCAGGTCCACCCTGTCAACATCACCAAGGTAGGACCCCTGGCCACGCTCCCTACACCTCTCCGTGGTGCCACAGAGTGTGTCACCAAGCTGTCTGTGAAGATGTCCTCACTGCGTTCAACACTAGGTGCTTCAGAAGGACCATGGCACCTCCCAGTTATTTTTCATAAGGTGTCCTTTGGAAATGATCTTTAGTGCAAGTCTCATTAACTTATTGTTAGTACGGAAGTTAATGGTTTGAAGGTGACTGAGATCAGTCAATACAAACATTAGAGTGACTGGACTTTGCCCTTCGGTTTGGAGAGGCTGTTAGCACCACCTGTGTGTGAGAATACCCCATGGATACATGAAAGGTTTGGAGAATTTTGTTACAGCATAATGACTGGAAGAAAAAGGGTGCTTCACATGACTATTTGGCACAATATGAGAGATAAAGGTCTTGAGCCACCCCGAGGGAGCTCCCAGGCGGACATGTGGCAGTTGGCTGCCTCTGCCAAGGTGCTGCTCTGCTCTCACAGCAGGTTTCTTCAATCACTTCCAGCCTTGCTCCAACACCACAGGCCCTCCAGGCTTTGAGCAAACCAGGAGCCAACCTGTTGTTATGGTTAGATTGTTCTGAGGTTAGCTTGTTCCAGACACAGAAGAGCCTGGCAGGGGACCAGCTCCACTGCAACCTTACTGTGGGCAGTCCCCTGCATTCAGGGACATCTGCTGTGACGAGCTTTGTGTGATGCAGTACACCTGCAATATCAAAACTACCTAGTCAGGACTGAAACGTCCTTCTCCAGCATCCTGCATTCCCACGGTATTCCTCTTTTCACAGTGCAAACACAAAATATTTTGCCGATAGCTGCAGACCAATAGCGATGTATATACAGCAGTAAATATTAACGAACAAGCCAGCAGCCTTTCAGAAATGTTTGACTTCGAAAAATGCCTTGGCACTGGCGCCCCGAATGCCGTCATCCCTTGGACATGGCAGGATTCCTGGGATACTGTTTGCAAGAGTAACTGATTCGGTGCTATTCCCACTGGCCTCATGACAGGCTGAGGAAGTCCAGAGTGAAAACAGGTGGAAGGAAAAAAAAACATGCAACAGTGCTCCCATTCTGGGGTCGCTTGTATTTCACGTGGCAACCAATGACATGTTGATTCTGCCTAGGGGAAAGTGAAATGCAGTTGCTGCTATATAGTATGAGACATAAACTGTAACACTGACTCCTTCATTTATTTGGCAGTATGTTTACTGCATTTCATTTTAAATCTGAAGCAACCCACTAAAGATCCTACATCACATCACAGACGTGTAAAGAGCATGCATACACATACGTGCAGAGACGTACTGGATATTTGTTTTGTTATTCCACATCTCTGAATTAGATAAACCAAAACAATAGTCAGGAATAGACACTGTACGGAGATGGAATAGGCTAGAATCAAGACATTCAAATACATCTAATGCTTTCTTCTCCTGTATCACCATTTAGCTTTACATCCCAAAACTCTTCCATAAAAAAATAAGTGTTGTAGCCCATCTGGACAGCCGGAAAAAATGAGGTAAAATGGCTTCACCACAACAATTCAGAGAGCAGAGGTGGGTTATCAGTCTGGTTTTCTGCAGCTTATCCCAGGAACCTGCCAAACTGTTAATTTTCTGGTTTATAAAGCTAACAGGAATGTAATTTTTTTCATTTGTCATCCAGAAATGATCCCTGTTAAATCTCAGTCTACACTTCTGACTTCCTATGCTGCCTTTTTAAAATGTTTTTAGGTGCAGTCAAATGAGCAAGGTGTAATTTATGGCCTTTATGAAAAAGAAAAGCTGCCCAGGCTCCCATTTTCCATTGATCAGGATGGGATTATTTATGTGACCGAACCACTGGACAGGGAAGAAAAGGATACTGTAAGTAAACACATAAAACCTCACCAATGGGAGAGACCATAGCAGGAAGCTGATTATTGATTACTGGGAGTAATTAGAAGAAAGTTCAATGGAAAGGATAGAGGCGGGGGGGAAGAAATAAAAGCTTTATTTATTGTCATTTCTGTTTGGGAATGACTTGATAGACAGGAAAGCACATTCATCTACTACACTGTAAACAGTCCTTAGTTTGGTACCCTACAACATTTCTCCATGGGTCTGGCAGTAGCAATCTCTGCCCACAGTTTATGTATAATGTGCAACATGGACCAATCATGGCAGGATTGTTGGTGCACGAGCAAGAGGCTGGCAATGGCATTTGTGAAGGGCAGATTTGGATGCTTCAGAACCAATCCAGATCCCAGAGGCCTCGGGCATCTCTCCACACCAGGAGCAGAGTTTAAATTGCAGTTGCAACTGTAAAGTTACCCCATCTGAAATTCCCCATCTGGGGGTCTTTTAGACAGAGAACCTTCTGTCCCCTTTTGTTCTAGAAGAAAATTTGGGCACAGAATTGGCCAGAAATCAGATATCCTGGAGGAATCATGTCTCTGTATGTGACAGACTAATTTACAAAGTGAGATATTCCTGCTTACCTTGAACTTTTGTGAGAGCAAGTTCACAGTGCAGTGATGTATTCAGGACTTTTATTCTTTTGAGAACTCAGACCTTAGGCACTAAGGAGTGATGGAAGAGTTCTGAACAAAACAGAGCAAAAATACGGAACTAACATATGAGGGGATATTTTACTTGTGTGGAAAGGTCCCATAGTTTCACATTTAAATGCGCAATATCGTCACAGTGGAAATTCAACGCATCTAATCTCAATATTCTTATTGCAGTATTCTTTCTTTGCGATCACCAAAGATAACAATGGAGAACTGGTGGACAAGCCTCTGCAGATTCAAGTTGTTGTGGAAGATATTAATGACAATCCGCCTGTGTGCCAGGAGGACCTCACTGTAATTGAAGTTCAAGAAAATGAAGGCGGAGGTAAGAAAACAGCTTCTACTAATTTATACACATCACTCTAGTCCTGTTATTGTTTCCAGCTGGGTGCAAATAAAGCTAGAAATTCTTATTCAAAGAGAAAAACTTAGCTCTCCTAGAGAAATGTTTTCCTGTGCAAATAGCCCTGTTGTTTTCACTTCAGTAATTCCCGTGGAAAGGATTTCAATAACCTGAGAAGGACAGACCTAAGACACCTACTTAAAAAAAGCTGTTCCATTTAAAATATAAAATTACATTTACCCACAACCACAGTTTTGGACAACTGCTTAGAATGTAAAGAGCAAAACACCCCTTTTATTACTAATATAAGAAATACTGCCCTAAAAGTACCACAATCCCGTTTTCCCTTTATCCAGGTGCTCCTCTCGCATACTGCCTTTGACTTCAGTGGACTATTACTGAAATCTGTGCCTAAGTCTTCACATCAGTTATTTGGTTTCGAGGCTAAAATGTCTGTTGTTACAGTCACTTCTTCTGATCAAAACACGTAGCCCAGTCCTTTCAGACTCCCCGAGGCCCAAAACATCTGGTTGGGATGCTAAGGGAAAAACTCCCATTGCAGTGTTTTCCATGAATTTTTATTGGCCCCCTTTGGATTGGTATCACTGTTGTCAGGGTGTATCTCTGTGGAGGAACAGGACCCCTGCATTATCCGACTGACTCCGGTCTCTCCTCTGCTACAGGAAGCAGTATTGGCACCGTGATCGCTACAGACATGGATGAGAAGGACACCCTTAACTCACGTCTGCGGTTCAAAATCGAAAGTCAGGTTCCTGATCGTCCTGCAAGTAATATGTTCTTTATTCAGCAAGACACGGGGGTTTTGAATTTAGCTGGCACTTCATTGAACAAGCAAGCTGCATCCAACTATTCCTTGAAGGTGCTGGTGACAGATCCAGGTACGTAACACTTACTGTTATACATTGGAATAGTTTTGTTCATGTTGGCATCCCCAGCGCTCAGCATCCAAGGGACAAGAGGAGACCTAGAGGATGCAGCAGCATCACCAGGAGCTGGCTTGCCCTGGCTTTGTACTGCTTTGTTCTTGAGATGCAGAGAGGTTAATCCTGATTCATAATGCATGTATGGAAGGAAAGCAGCTCTAGAGCAGGGTGTGGATAAACTGGGAAGCTTGTTAACAAGTACTCCAGTAAGAGATTGTCTTACACAGGGGAAAAAAAAAAAGAGGAGATCATGTTTGTGGTTTCCCCCTAAAATCTCTCAAAGGGACTCACTGAAAAAAAATCAAGAAATTAAACACAGCTGCTTAGAGAGTCCAGATAATGTACTTTAAAAGATTAAGAGCTGAAATGAATCTTGAAAAGTAATCTTGTCCATTATGCAAGTTCCCAGGAGTCCTTTGTGGTTCACTGAATGGAAAGGAAAGCAATCTCCGTACTCTGAAATTTAAAGCTTTGTGCTGCAGTCCTTATAGTCAGGCAAAACTTGTGGATGGAAGAAGTGGCATGTAAAGAAAGCAGTGTAACATGTCTGTAAATGAAATAATGACACTTGTAGGCAGAGAAGCTGGTGATTTGTTTTGGATGCTTATTTGAATTCCATCGAAACAGTTTTGTTTAGAATATTCCTTAACTTTCAGCTCATGAATCATGTCCATAAAACTCTAAAACCCAGCACATGACCAGACAGAATATGCTTTTAAAGCCACAACCCCCCCATTGCTATGGGTGCCCCTGCTCAGGTAGCGCTTAGATTTACATAGATCTGAAGTTTAAGTCTGGCTGTAATGAAAATGAGGGTGCTGCTGGATGGCCCACCAAGAGGACATGGTAGCATAACAACCTGGGGCTTATTTTTTGACATGTAAAAGTGATATTGAGAAAGCTAATACAATTCATAGCTATCATCATCCTGATAAAGGGATGTAGTTAGAAAAACTGAGGGAAATGGAATGAAACAGGCTGAAGAAATTGGGAAGGTGAATGGTTAGGTTAGAAAGTTATGGTCTCACTGACTCTGAGTTACTGAAGATCAAGCGCTTGCAAATGTAGGGGATTTGCTTGCATCAGGTGATTTGGCAGCACTTGCTTTTGCTCATAGTGAACCCTTTTGAAGGAAAGTTATTTTCAGCAGAAGGGTTGCCATGACGTTGTTTGTTCTCTTTCCATGCAGCATTCCAAACAATCTGTGACGTGCAAGTACATGTCATCGACATCAACGATCAGATTCCCATCTTTGAAAAATCAGATGTGAGTATTTTTAACACTGTTTTTGATGTCCCAATCACTTTTGACAAATGTTTGAGCATACGTTCAATGTCTATAGAAAGTCAGCAGGAAAACAACCATTTACCGAACAAATAATACAGCAATGCACTAGTGAAAATAAAGGCAAGGCACTGCTGCAAAGCCTGACTATAAGGTCTATCTAGAGAGTAGACAGTGGGACTGACTCAGTTAATTCCGAAATGTAAAGTAATTTGCGCAGTGGAAAACTATGTGTACAGAAAAAGATAATTCTGCTAATGCAGTTTGTTTCAGAAATGTAAGTTCTGGAGGGAAAGGAAGAAGGAAATGATCTAAAATATTAATTAAAATAGCTAAATGGAAAAAAGCTAACATCTCCAAAGTTCTCTTCTCAACACAATATTAATGTATCCAGACATGGTGGAGGTGAACGGAAATCAATGGCTGTATTTTCTTTAATCAGAAACAGTGGCCCAGTGATCTATACCCAAAACGCGTACCTGCTGGCCCTTCACGCAGGAGTGGGTGTCAGGCTCTTGCCTCTTCCCCTGGTGGAGGTTCTGGCATCTGGCAGAGAGACTTTCCATTACTTCTGCCCGCTGGCCCAAGCCTCCTGCAGACACTGCAGTGGCTGGAGTGTCTACGCTTAGGCGTCTAAGCTCCCACTGTAGATATAGGCAATGTAAGTGGTGGGTTCAGGAGACCTGTCTAGGTCATCTGGTGTAGATGCTCTCTTGGGGAGGTTGTGCTGGTTTTTGGTCTTTGCTGACTGCATTGCCCAGCTCTCTGCTGATGATAATGGGAGTTTAGATGTGGATCGTGTGCCTCCATAGTGGGCTGTCGACTTTCTCACCTCAAGATCTCAGTCCAGGACCTGGTCTTAAGATGAGACTGCTGGGTCAGAGAAGACATCAAACAGGGTAAATGGAGCTGGGCTGCTAATGTAGCAATGGCCTGTGGTGCACAAAGCAATTAAATATTTAACAGTCAGTAACTAGGGTGTTCACTGGGTACAGAGGAGACCTAGATGTTGTCCCTACTACTCTGAGAATTGCACATGGAGTGTTTCTACATGGAGTAGTTTCAACAGAGAAGGTAAAGGCTCCTCCAGAGCATCTGCAACCACCGCTATACTAGTTGCTCACCCACTGACAGAGATCCCATCATCTTTGATAAATGTGAGGCTACAAAAGGGGGAGATAGAAACATTGCAGAGGGTCTTGTGCCCATCTTGCATCTCTGGTTTCCTCTGGGTAGCTCTTTGGGTACTGGGTACTGGGTAGTGCTGCGAGGCACTTCACTAATGCTTTTGTACATGTCTCTGACCTGTTTATGTCTGTGAAATGCCCTCACCACTTCCCTCCCTCACACGGCTGCTGCGGGCTGAAATACATCCGTGCTCATGGCTCGCGAGCTGCTTGTAGCATTCATGTTTTCATCTGCAGATGATGCCCAGCGTGTCATGTTTCAACAATCTCTCTCTCCTCAGTACGACAACGTGACTGTTGCAGAAAATATCGCAGTAGGAACAGTGCTATTAGAAATTCAAGCTACCGATGGAGATGAGCCTGACACAGGGAGCTCCCACATCATTTACCAAGTGAAGGAAGGAGATCCAGACAACGTATTCATCATAGAGACAGATCCTGAAACAAACCGAGGGTTCCTCAAGATTAACAAGGTGAATAGATGGGTTTATTCTTCTCCTTTATAGATATATACTTATATATATATATATATATTTGGCATAAACATTATTTGCCCTGTTGATGATTTGCAGAGGGAGGGATTGGCTAGTGGTGGGGTGAGGACACCCTAAGTATGGCACAGACTGCAGGAGGCTCCACTCTTGGGCTGAAGTGTTGTGCCTGTGCAGTGTTTGGACACACTAACCCTCCTGCCTTCACTGTCCCCTACCCACCCACCACTACCAGCAGCTCCATCTTCTGGCTCTGCTGATGATTCTGGCTGATGAAGTAGGTCTTTATAACACCATAAAGGAACAAAATGGCATTATTTGAGTGATTTTGCAGCAGAGTTTCTGGAAAAGAGAAACTCAGCTAAAGGCTTCCATGGGCTGGGGTCATGGTGGTGGGCTATCACGGGGCAGTGCCTCTCCCCTGTTGGTGTTCTGGGCTGTTGGTGGCTTTTGCAATGGGAGGTACAAGTCAGACCAGCATGTCTCAATGTCAGGATGGAGAGGCAGTTTGTTCCTGCTGAGGCAAACTTTAACTGCGACAAAGCCAAGGTCAGCACGTGCTGCAGCAGGTGATACATCCCATATGTTGAATGCTGGAGACAGGAATGAATATAAGGAACACTTTCTGCTGCATCCATGAATTTCAATACCAAAAGTGCTCTCCTTTTGGAACTAGCCTTCTCGAAGATGCTTGAACTACAGATCCAGAAAACCCATCACTCATTTTCCGAGGAGTAACATGTTGTTTGCACCCAGTTCACCTGCTGCTGGCTGGGCCAAGGGCAGGCAGATGCAACATTTGGTGGACCATCTTCAGGCTCAACCTCAGTGTCATTTTTTTTCCCAAGGAGGCAATTGTGAGAAACTCTGCGGTGTAACAACCCTTGCATGACTTTTGTCACCCGGAGGTCACCCGAAGCCTTCTCATACAGAGCTATAAATACCATTGCTGTAAACAGGATATAGTTATTAAACTTAGTCAGGCAGGTGGCAACATTATTAGGGAATGCAGTTGCTGAGAAAGGCCTGCAAACGGGCATATGGTTTCATTTAAACTTGACTGTTCCCAGTGTTGTTTTGCTCCCGACAGTTCTTCTTTATTTCGTCTGTATCTGTGATGCAATCTCCTCCTTGAGAAGAGGGGGACTTTGTGGTTTACCACGGGAGCTCCTCACAGCAGTGGGGCAGTTGTTTAAATCACCTTTTTTTTCCTTTTTTTTTTTTTTTTTCTAATTTATCCAGGCTCTTGATTTCGAAACAGCTCCAGTGTACAACCTGGTGATCAACGCCACAAACCCCGAACCGTTGGTGTCAAGCGTGCAGTACAACGCAAGCTCCCTTACCTTGTTTAAAGTTTTCATAACAGATGTGGACGAGCCACCTGCTTTCTATGAGGTAGCTTACAACGTAGAAGTGTCTGAAGACGTTCCTGTCAACACCCTGATTGTGACGGTGGAGGCCTATGATCCTGAGGGGGATTCTGTACGGTAAAAAAAAGTGACCATGATTTATTTATTCAATTTAGGATTTAGAAAATTGTTCTAAAAGAAGTACAAGGAGAACACACCCCATATTTGGTATGCAGGAAATGACTCTCTTACAAAAGGCTCATCTCCTGGTAGAAAGTGGAGGTGTGGTGGGGTGGCAGCCGGTGACTCACCTGCAGCAGACTACTGGGCAGTGCTTTTCTAACCACCTTTGACTCTGTGCTGTGATAAGCATCAGCCAGTGGGGCCCTTGAACCAGGAAACTAAAAGGGAAGAAGGTCAATGAATGTCTCCAGGAAAAAGGCAGAGGTGGTCTGAGAATAACAGGGTTTCCATACCCATAATGCCTTTGACAAACGAATGAATCCTATACTGCGTCCTCCTAGGAACCAGTGGGACAGTAGCTGCTTTTCATGTCGCACTGGAAACTGCACAGGGCTTTTCCTCCACCAGACCCCACAACCTGTAGTGAAGCTCAAGTCTGTAATTGACAATTCATATGTGTTCTTTCCCAACTGCCAAAGACAATACGCCTGCTTCCACTGCAGATGCAAAACTCCCTGCAAGACAGCTCCTATGCTTGTGGGTGGGATGCAAAACTTCAAACGGGCTCGTTCAGTAGCCACGTTGTATAGTCATAGAATCATAGAATTGTCTAGGTTGGAAGAGACCCTTGGGATCATCAAGTCCAACCATCTACCCTACTCTACAGGGGTGGAAGTTCTCCCCTACACCATATCCCCCAACAAGTCACCTGGAGTCTCTGCCGGCTCCTGGATCTATGCACAGTGCTGTGTTGCATGGTGTAAATGTACCTTACACAGTAGAGTCAGATAGAAGAATTATTTGTGGTTCTTGCCGCACTGTTCCCAGCTGGGATGCTGATCAGATCAACCCAAAATGCACAATCCCTGAAATTTAACTAAAATTCAGCAAAACACAAAGTGGTTAACGGAGTTGCGGAATATGACTGTGAGGCCTCCTGTGGATTTTTATTCCCAGAGGCTTCTCATCTGGCTTTCTACTTTCCCCTAACTTTTGGGAACTTAGAGTGTTTGGCCTTCTGTCAAACTGGTTTGAAAGTGAGCCACATAGTCCAGAAGCTCTGGGGGATGATGACAGAGACGGATGACAGGAATTCATATTTACATAAACCACATTTCTGCTAAAAAATAGGTTAAAGGACATAAAATAAAAAGTATTAAAAGTAAAAGATGCACAAGCATGTCAGCATGCTGTTTTTAATGCAAGGGGTACTGAAAAACACAAAAGCGTTGAATGAGAAGGTCGGGTCACATCTACTCAAGTGAATGCCTGTGCTTTAACTGGGTCATATGTGCATGGTTAAATTTGTATAAGTAAATACCCAGCGACCTTGGTGGGGTTTTTTTTAAACAATAATATAAAGGCAATTATGTGGTTATGTTTAAAGCACTCTCTGTTCCAAGGCTGCCCCGATGGTAATTACAAGCTGCTCCAGGCTGGCAGCAGATGACCACAGTAGTCCACTTCAGGGTCGCGGCCCCGCACTGGTCCACAACAAGGTGCCTGGCTGCACTACTGCCTCTGACCCCTAGCCTTTGGCTTGTGCCTCATCAAAACCAAGGCTTGGGAGATATGGTGGGGAGAGAGTGATGCGGCGTTAGGACAAAGCAGACTTTTGGACCAAAAGCTCAGGAACACCCCAGGTTTCCCAGTTAGGAGGAAGGTGGAGTTGCAGTACACAGGCTGGAGGAGCGGTAGCATTCCCACAGTTCAACTCTCACTCTTTATTCTCAATGGTTTTGGCCTCCCTTCCTCTGCCTGTCTCTCCTGGTTGGCTGTAGTACTGGGACTATTCCAAGAAACCTCTCTTCAAGTACAATTGTAATCAAGCTGCTTGCCTAAAATCAATAAATAAGTATTTGCTTTGTCAGCAGTTTTTTTTCCCCTGATTTTGAATAGTGTATGTGACTTGTTCTTCTTTCTTTCCAAAGATACTCCTTAGAAGGTGATGTGAGGAAATGGCTGAAGATTGATTCAGCCACTGGGGAGATATACACCGCTTCCCCTTTGGATCGAGAACAAGAAGAAGTGTACACGGTTGAAGTTGTTGCATCAGAACTAAGTAAGCAATGAAACAACTACACATACACACAGAGGAAACCCCTGCCCTTGCTGCTTTATGAATTATCATACTTCCCATGGCTAAATCCATGAAAAGTACAGGAACATGTGCTGCATCCTTAGAAGTATATATTTCTTAAGAATTTAACATTTTTAAAAGAAATCTAAATGTTGTAGAGAATGAGGTTTAAAACAGTTTTATTAAACTGTTTATTTATTAAAGTGTTTATTAAAACAACTATCATATGCTGTTATATTTGCTTGAGCCATGTGGCATATAGCAAAAGTCAGAATTTCTTTAGTGTTTTCAGCGTCGACATTTTCTGCCTCTATAGACATTTTCCCTCTATAGATAGAAAGATTTTAGTCTTTCTTGTAGGTATGTTTAGGCTTCCTAAAGACATACCTGGAGAGTAACTTGCAACCTTGTACAGAATTTCATTTTATTACGAATAAAACTAATACACTAGTTAGTCTGAAATATATTAGGGGTCCCAGTTCCAACCATAAGAATCTTCAGATAGTCCACCTGAGGAGATTTCATTACATGATTTACATTAAATAGGGGTTAAAGACTCTGGACTATATCTGATTGAATGAGGTATAAATGTAGGTTTCCATTATTAAACACAGATAAACAATAATGATGTCCACTGTTTTGGAAGATATGGGTAAAGATGCAGTTCATCTGTCAGGAAAAAGGAGTGCTTCCTCAAGCACCAAGATGGATTGGGGCTGTTCCTGCAGGAACAGGCTGGAGAAACGACAGGGCCCTGAAAGCTCTTCTTGGGCCCCTTGTCTTGGCCCCAAGGCAGAATACTGACTTGTATTTCCTACATATAGGAGAGAGATGGGAAACTGAAGGAGTTTCATGCTTAAATGAGTGCTCCAAATAGCACTGGTTACCTTGATTGTGACTCCTTACCAGCTGAGATGGATATGACCGCTTATACGATTGTCCATCTACCTCCTTTCACTTGCTAGTGTTCTGTAGTTAGAAAGAGTTGGGGGTAAATAATCTATACTTTTAAAAAAGTGGTGGCAGCTACCACGTATCCCTCAGGACCCCCTGAGACCTTGTTCCTGCAACCTGCAGACAGAATACCACCTCCCACTGCCTGCTGGTGGTGTACCTATACAATAGCTGCAAATGCAACAATCCAACATGTAAAACCGACATGTTCGTGTAACTTTGCATTCTGTTAAACTCTACAGATAATGCAGCTCAGAAATCTAAAATAGCCGTGTTACTACGCTTACATGATGTGAACGACAACCCTCCACGGCTAGTTATGGATTCTCCTCCTTTCTTCTGCTACCCAGTCTCTAGAGGAGAGAAAGCTTTCCTTCAAGCTACTGATGATGATCAATACTGGGCTTATCCAATGTTTACTTTTTCTCTTGGGGATGATGTGAATACAAGAAATAATTGGGAAATCTCAAAAATCAATGGTAAGTTAATATAGCTGTTCTTATAATGATATGGAAATCTCTAAGTACTATTGGAAATATAAAGAAATGTTAAATTCCTTTTTTCATTCCTACTATTACATATTCAGTATTCCATGTAGAAAAAAAATAAGGTTTTGGGAAGTTACATGCATTTTTGCATGTATTTATTTGAACATCTAAGTCATTAAGTATTTTTTCAAGACATGACATCTAGCATGTTGCAAGGTAAAATTTCACTAGTACTTATGAGAGAAGAAACATGTAAGAATAAAATGAACTGTGTGTTTAAATTAATACAAATCACTTCTGCTAAAGAAACAGAGCAGTTTGCAAACTGTTTATTTCTGACATTTCATGTGCAAAGGGAAGTCCTGCCTCACAAACCAACCAGAGTTCTTTGAAGGGCATCAATAAGCACATGAATAAGTGCTTGGCCAATAGAGCCTGTCTGAATTCCTAAAAGATGTTTAATGAAATGCATCACTAGAGAAAGTCAGGTTTCCACAATGTGAAAAGGACAAATTTTGAAAGGATAAATAATAACTTAAAAATCAGGAGTTGGAGTAAATGGTCAGCTCTTGCAGTGAAGGGAGTTCATGTGCAATGAGGAGGCAAAGTTTACTCATTATACAAAGTTATTTGAGTGGGAACCAATGTGAAGAATTACAGATAATCTTTGCAAGACTAAGTTGGTTGAACAATAAAATGGCAGATTCAAATGAACCTCGGACTCCCAAACTCACATTTGAAATCACGAGTGATGAGTGGCCATTATGAGTCAGAAGTGAAACCTGTAAGCAATTCCATGAAAATGTGAGATCAAATTATCAGCAGTGTTCAGAAAAGCAGATCAAATATTGGGAGTTACTAGGAAAGAACAAAAGAAATCCAAGAACATCATTATGCCCCTCTACAAATCCATGGTTTGTTCAAATCTTGAACCCTGGTCTCTCCATCTGCAAAAAGGTGCAGTAGAACTGGAAACAGGTTCAGGTAGGGAGACAAGGATAATCAGCGTTATGGAGTAGCCTGATATAAGGAAGCTACTGGCTTTTAGCTTGGAAGAGTGTAGGAAAAAAAATACAAGAGAGGTCTGTAAAATCATGAATGCTATTGTCAGAGTGGCCAGAGGTTCATCATTTGCCCTGTCTTCCAGTACACAAACCTGTGAGCCTCAAATGAAGTTTATGGGAGTTATTTCCAGTGCAGATAGAAGGAGGAGAGAGTTTACTGTGGAACTTGTTGCCACAGGGTATTGTGTATGTAGAAACTTTCTACAAGTTCAAAGCAAGGAATTACATCTCACTTAGAAGTCCCTGAGCTGAAAATGGTTGAAGGCTGGGAGAGCATGAGGAAAAAATAAAATACATGCTTGCTTTTTTATTGTAATCTCCACTTATTCTAGACACAAGATACTGACATTCATAGACCTTTGGTCTGATCCTAGTTGCCATCATAGTCTTAGTTTTCCAAGCTTTAAAAAGTATTTTATGCAACAGTGTAAGTGCGCTAGAAGGATAGTCTGTCTTAACTAACTTAGCTTGGGAACAATTTTAGTTGGTTGTGGCTTCTATGAGTATGAGGGGATATTATTGGTTTAGATGTGATGCTATCAGTGTAACACAACCCATGATCAGATTTGGCCTGCTGTAGAGATCAGGAAGGAAATTCTTTAATCATATTATGCTGAAGGCCAGACCAGGCATTCAGATGGTCCCTTTTGACTTGATGTCTGCAAACCAATGAGACCTGGGAAGCCATGGTGGGAAATCGTAACTACCATCATATCCAAAGCAGCTTTAAAAAAGAGCATCTGTATGATGGTATGAACGTTGAGCTAAATTTGTTTCTTGTGCTGACATGAATGTCCCATTTCCTACTTCCAGCTACTTATGCTTACCTCTCTCCGAAACATGGTAACTTTGAAGAGAAGACATATAATGTTTCAGTAATAATTAAGGACAATGGAAAACCACCTTTGGAAAGAACAGTGAATCTTGAAGGTATACTATGCGCAGAACTACTCATTTCAAGACGACAGTAACATTTATGAATAAAAAAATTTGACTAGTAAACTTCTTATTAACCTCATGGTTATTTCTTTTTGCAGTAAGTGTCTGCAGGTGTTCAAGTGACAACTCCTGTTTCATTGCCCTAGAGCGTGAGGACTCCTGGCCAACTGCCGGCCAGGCAATTGGGATTCTTATTGGGGTCCTCCTCATCATAGGTAAGTCACTTTTTCTCCCCCACTGAGAAGAGGGTGGTAGGATAAATATAATGTGGCAGATAATAGTGACATTCTTCGATTAACTACTCTGATACCACAACTATGAATGTAAAATAAGAACAACTACACAACAGATATTCAGAGCAATGAATGGGGCAAGGGGAGTAGCTGAGCACTCCTATACACTTTAGTAAAGGAACAAACAGGTGTTGGTAGTGATAGATAATCTAACATTGATAAAGAGGAAATAAATTTACATACAATGTAACAAGCTCATCATGATTTGAAAAGATTAAACATATATATATACATATAATATGCATATTTGCTGTGTATATATACATATATGTATATACACATGTGAAAACATCTAGACACGTTAGATTGGATATGACATGTGATGATAAAAAGTACAGGCACTTTTAATCCAGGTCAGAAGAAAATCTTAGTCATTCTTGGCCATAGGTGCACAAAACTCTGGGGTCCATCAGCTTTTCCTAACAGATACCAAGGAGTTCCCAAAGAACAACATTTATGTCAGTAGTCTCAGCTTTGCTGTGACGGAATTGCCATTCCATTGGGAAAAAACAAACAAACCAGGAACTACAATTTAAAACCATTTGTCGACAAGTCACTGCTCAAAGAGAGAGGGGGCTAAAAAAAGACACTTTTCCATCTGGTCAGATCATAGAGGAGAAACTCTCCTTTGGGAGAAGCGTCCTGAGCCCTGAGGCATGGGATGCTGCTCACTAGTGCCTTGAGTCCCTAAACACTGTTGGGTGTTATCTGTTGGTCCAACACTGCATGGTCATTAACCAAAGCCGTTTCCTTCTGTTCAGAAGGTAAAGTAGCATGGATATTACAGTGCAGGTGTCAGACACTTTGCTGAAATACCTTTTCAGAAAGTTATCTCTTCCCTCTGCTGATGAGTGCTCTCTGTTTTTCAGGTTGCATTGTAGGAGGTGTGTTTATTCACATGAAGTGCAAACAGAAAGATGAAAAGAAGAGCGAACAGAAAGATGCAAAGGATAGGTCTGAACTCAATAGACTGGCTTAATGACTGTTTCATCAAGACAAAAAAAAGCATTCTTTGGGTTGGGAAGGAGTGCACTTTATAGATCCCAAAGCCAAGAAGTATGCTATCACAAACTGAGGATACAAACATGCAAAAGCAGGCTCTCAGGGTTTTGTCCTCACTTCTGTAGGTAATGCTATTCATTCATGAAACAAAACCCATATGTACACTTTAGCAGCAGCCATTAATAAGAATATCAGCTTTGACTGAAGTGTTAACTCATGACAGCACCAAATGCTGAGCTCCTGCAAGGATCAATACGTGGGACCAGCTTTTTTTGCTTGGCGGCTGTAGTGAATACGGACTTCCCAGAAGACTACATCTTATCTAACTGCACATCTTTGGCACTTCGCATCTCAGTAAGTTGCTGAATAGCAGAACAAGGAATAAAGTCTTGTGCTACATTTGAAGATATCTCATGAAGTTGCAGGAATCTCTCTGACTCTCAGTAAAGGAACTACCAAATTTATCGCAATCTGTAATCTGCCCTGGGTCATTCTGCTGGTGAATTTGGACCTTCCAATATTCACTAGTAATATGACATTTCAGTTTTTCATTTTTGATATCCGCAGATTATGACCAGTTTGTGAAGCCCCATGACCTTTAATTATAGTTTCTAAGTTAAATAGTACTTTCTGAATCATGTGGAATAGGGTAATGTGCTGTGTTATATGATGCCAATAGTGTTCTTGCCCACTACTTATTAGATAAAAATAAAAATGTTCTTTAAAGGTTTTAGAGTCTACTTATCTTATTTAAAACAAAAAAAGAAAAAAAAAAAGAGAGAGTGCATGAGAGCAAACCATTGCTGCTTGGTTATCTATTGTACTTAACCCTTACTTTTGCACAATACAGAATTTAAAAAGGCTTTCAGGCCAGAGCGATACATGTCTGGCTGATTCAAGATGCAATGATTGCTGGAGGTACTCGTATCTTGGTTTCAGTAAAATGTATTTGAGCCCAGGATGACACTCAGAGAAGGAAAGCATTTCTCCTGACAGCATGCCTATAGAAGGGCATTTTTGGTGACAGTTTGAGGGAGGCTTTTTTTTTAAGCTATAAATAAAAGCTGACAAATATTGTGTTAAACTGAAAAGACAATATACTTTTGAAAGCACTGAAGAAAAGGTCATATGGAAAAGAGTATGTTTGTTTATGCAGGATTTTTTTAATAGCTTTTGCATGCAGCGTAGAACTAGAAAGAAAAGAGCACTTTTTTGGTAGCATTGCATTATAATAGGTTTTCCTAGAATGCTGCCAGCAAAAACTTTGCTTTTGGGCTTCAGCGACACAACCCAATTGTTGTACCTCTTTCCCCAGCTGTCGGAGCTCTGCTATTTGCTGTGGGGCTCACTGCTGGAATGTATTTATTTTATGATGGGAATGCAATCCATTATATTTGGAAAGTATGACATTCAGTTACGTCAGTGTGTCCAGGGATTGGGATTAGTATATTGTTTTATAATTAAAGAAGCCAAAGTTCAGGAGTCATTGTACTTGTGTATACCAATATGGCTTTATCTGAAGATGGGGAAAATGTGCAGAAGTTCCATTTTGCTTTATCTTCCTGACCTGTCTTTCTGTTTGCTAATTTTACGCAAACACGTCTCTTACTTTCAATAATTTCTTTTCTGGAAAAGGGTTGAAAAAATTCTTTTCTTATTTACCTACCTCCATGGCTGGTTTGATAGCAAGACTTTTTCCCTTTCCTCAGCCTTCAGAGGCATCGCCACAATTTCTTGTGTCTCATGGGGGAATTCGCTGTGCCCTCTGCCCAGCTGCCCTTAAACCAGTGGATAGCAGAGCTTCTAGGACAAACAAAAAAGTCCCCTCCACTTGGGGTCTTGGCCATGCCTACAGTCTTGAAGATATTTCCATCATGCTGTAGTGGAGGTCAACGCTCCCGCAGGTATCACTCTGCGAAATGTGGTTCCTGTGTGGTAGGAGAGGACTCAATGAAACCACCTCGGGGTGTTCTCTCTACAGTGGCTGCCCTGGATGAACATCTCTAGGGGCTGGGCACGTTTTTCCTTGCTGCTGCAATGACCCCCTGACAGCCCGCGCTCCTGCCTGCAGCAGAGCACGGCCAGGACCCACAGCACCCTGACCACCTCGCTCCACCTACGCCCCCTTCCCCGTCCCACTAGCCCAAAGTCCCCTGCACTTGAGGGTTGTCTCGTGTCCATGCTTGCATGGGCAATACCCAAGTAATGCAGTGGCTAGCTAACCTGTGGCTGGGCAACCAGGTGCTTCTTGCACTGTGCATGAGTTCCACCCTAAAAAAAAAAAAACCAAAAAATAAAAAAAAAGGAATAAAAACCATTTCCAACCCTGCCACAAATATTCTTATTTTCTTCACCCTCCTCCTGCCTGCCTGCCAGGAATTCCCCTCCAGCCCTCAGGGTCCCAGTCCTGCTCTGGCTCCTCCATCAGTCTCTTTTGGGAGCCAGACAAAAACTCTCACCCAGCCTTAACCCTCCCCCTGCAGCAGACTGCTGCCCCCGGCCTCCTTTCCAGAGGACAAATTCAGTTTTCTTTGGGTCTCTGGAGAGGAAGAGAAGCAATATTCATTATTGTTCCTTCCCACCAGCCCCAGCTGGTTCCCAGGTCCCCACAGGAGCAGCAGATACTGGGTCATTTTGCCCTTGTACATTAGATTTTGTTCTGAATTCAAGTTTTAAAGAACGAGCTCTTCTTTTTGAGCTCCTCAAATTCCTGTCAATGTCTGTTTGTCACTTCATCCTCCAAAGTAGTTTCGCTTTTTGGTAATAACTCACAACACACAAATTGGACTTTAAACATAAAAGTGTAAAGATATAGACTGCAGCAAAAAAAGAATTTAGTACAAACTTCCAAAAGATAGTTTTCTGAAGTTGGCCACATTTGTTTAAAATGACTTTGAAATATTGGCTTATGTCTGTTTTTTATGCTTAAATAACAGGTATGGCATAAGGGCATGATTTGCACACATACATGATTCACTGTGAAGGAACTTGTAAGGTCTGCAAGCATTAAAACTGAATTACTGCTTTAAACGCATGATGCTTAAAATGGTAGAGAAGCTGAAGCTCTCCTACTTCATATCCACAAGTTATTAGAACAACCTTATGCATTGATACCAGAAGGACAAATTTTGAAAACAGTGTTGATGGCTTTGGACTCCAGTTACAACCTTTCTGCCAAGAACAATATCACACAAGAAGTCCAGTGATGAAATCTGCTGAGAATATGCCCTCTGGCTCTGCTCCCTTCCATGGCTCCTCCTCCAAGCACGCAACATCCCATTACAAAGTTCACAGAGAGCAGAAGATGTTTCAGTGCTTTCTAATTCTTTTTTACAAGATTAGAGACTTATCAGGGGTTTGATTATCTCCAGAATTAATGGCATATGTTAATTAACAACTGTCATTATGCCTATTTTTCAACCCTTTTGTAAACTTTAAAAGTACGAACAAGATTTTTATCTGCATTTATAGAACAAATGCCACAGAATGGCAGCTCTTGGGGAAAAAAAAAAGTGTCCTTAATCTACGTTTTGAAGTACAGTTCGTCAGCTCTGCTCACACCATCACACACATGAGGCTGTACCCACTGTGTGTAGCTACTGCTGGCCTGTGAATGGGGGTACAGATAAGGCAGCCCCCCCAGTGACATGGCCATGGCTGGGGAGGGCTGTGTGCCAGCATGGTGGCTAGGGCTGTGGTGCCACCTAACCGGCTGGTGACACTGGCACCAGCAGTGGAACAGACTCCCTCCAGATGTGGTGGGACATCTGTACCTGGGGAGTGCTGCAGGGAGAAGTGTGTCTTAAAGCTGTGCTCTTGGGGTGGGCAAACACCACGTGGAGGAGCACAGGGGGCACCTAGGTGGGGTTTGGAAGCTGACCTGCAAGAGGGTTTGGTTGAAAGAGGTTGGATGTTCTCCCATTCCTTCTGTGTAACAGCTAATCCTAGATGCACCTCACTAGGAGTTTGAGAAGACTTAAACAAACAAACAAACAAACATACAAAAACCCCCAAGCCTACCACATTTATTCCCAGTGCTATTTCCCATAGATTTGTCAAAACTGGGAGCTGAAATTAGCTAATTGTTTGTGCAAACTAGAGCAAGGAAGAACATAATAAAAACATAATAACACTGGAGATGTGGACAGTGGGATAGAGCACACCCTCAGCAAGTTTGCTGATGACACCAACCTGTGTGGCGTGGTCGACACGCTGGAGGGAAGGAATGCCATCCAGATCGACCTAGACCATTCACCCCTTCAGAGAAGTCCTCCTTCCCTGTTGGCTGTCTTTGGTCCTTGCACAAGGGACCCAGAGACCTGCAGCTTAAACTAAAAGACAAGTCCTAGAGCTACAGGTTGCTGCAACAGCAGGGGAATATTGTCTATGGATGGAGCCTAGAGAAAGGAGGTACGACAGCCTGTGACAAAGAGGTTACAATGATGTACATGAATATCCATTACTGCAGTAAAATACCATGGAAACATTCAGAAAGACGGACAGCATCATCGTGTCAAGGATCCCAAGCCAGGAAAAACACTTCCATTTTTTCAGTTGCGTATTCCAAAAGAAAACCAGAAGACTAAAAAGCAAACCAGCAGCAGATCTTTGAACTTGTTGCCGAACAACATGTTCCTTCAGATAGCGAGAGATTGTACAGTACCAGGAGATGAACTACTCGAGCCTGTTCTGTTTACAGTTTGGGGGCCAGAGAGAGGCGACGAGTACAGTTGCAAAAGGATATTCTGCCACAGATAAGCTCAAGGGGAAGAAGTGTCATACGTTTGCAGCTGGGAAGATGAAAACTATTATTGCCATGAGCTGCATGCGTACTCACATCCAGTTCATCCAGTTATGATATCAGTATCATAAGTGGACTGACCTCGCCATTCCTGTACCATTCCCTAAGACATACCTTAATGCTGAATATGGTCAAGAAATGTGTTTCCACCATCTCATCTTCCAGTGCACGGCCCCTCAGGACTAACATTTAACTTACAAGTCCTCTAGGGAAGTGTAGGTCTAGCACATCATTCCTGGTTCTCAGAACTGAGCAGGAAGAATAGAAGCTGGAAGCTAGAAACCAGGGGTGCTCTCTGGTGCAATAATCCTATCACCAGGTGAAGAGCTGGGGTTGGCGTCCAGCTGCTAACAGTCAGCACAGGCACACCTTCTGTCATTTCTCTGAAGGTCTGAAGATTTCACACCCTACTATGTTTCCTGCATTTGAATTATTTCTTTTGCTTTGCAAAGCTGAAGTGGCACAACAGCTGAGCCCACAGGACATTTCCTCAGGTGAGACTCATGGAGGGTTTGTTGCATCCCTCCGCACAGTGCAGTGAGCTCACCTGTGCTGCTTGTCCCTGCCCTGCAAAGTGACTTGTCTGTCCTCACTCAGCACTGCAAAACCATTGGGGGTAGACAGTAGAGGACCAGCAGTACCAGAGTAGAGCCAGTAAAGATTTACTGACTTGATTTACCTGAGTTAAAACTGAAGAGAACTGTCAAAACTGGCTGAGCAGACTAACAAGAAGTAGGGAACAGCACAGCTGGTGCTGTGTTGCTTTTGCACACTCAGTCTAGGCAATGAAAGGTTACCAGAAGAGGTGGTGGTGGGAGAGCATCAGAGGGCAGAAGGAATAAGAAGGCAAGACTGAGCAAGGCTTGCCAAAAAATGAGAGCAGAAATGTACACCGAGCCCCAGTTGAGAACCTGCAGGAGTGGCACGTC